CAAGATTCACGGAAATTTTAAGAAATTGATATGAGTCACGATCGGTAGACTAGCTGGCATGGTCTTCTAGCCTTCAAGGGTTCATTTTCGCCTGCTCGCGATGATAGCTTATGGGATAACTCGATTCCTTTTGACAAGGTTCGGTCAGCTATAACCTGGAGAAAACATGTTGCGGAGTCAGTGTGATAAGGACTTGTTGGCAGATAAACCGGAAAAGGGCACTGAAGTTTTGATTATAAGTTCCTATCCAATGTACAGTACACGGCAGGGATTTCTGTCTGAAGGCTGGATTGCATGAGGTATCAGTTAGAAAAACGCTTAAGCTCTCAAAGGAGTAAACTCATCAGCTGACTCTCTCGTTACGGTGGTCATAGAAATACAATAATACACATACAAATACATGTAATTATCAATAGCGCCAATCATCGCAAGTGAATACATGCAATTACACGACAAAGACGACGACCCAGAGTGCTGTCGAGTCTTTCGCAAACTCTTTCGTGACTTGATTAATTTGCACATTCCGTTCGAGACCACGTGTCTCCTGGGTTTAGAAGTAAGTAGAGCTAAGACTAACAGACGAGAAATGACATAGTGTAGACCCCGTCCAGCTTCCTACAAGTATCTGCGCGCCGCACACGCAAGCACGTCTTTAATGCGCCTCCTGTCCTAGCTTCTGATGGAATTCTTTGCTTCTCTCTTGTTTTTGACGTACTACGTTCCCTCTATTTGAGGCATAAGCAATATAACCAGTGCCGAGAATGTGCACGTATTGTAATAGTCCTGAAAGCTTCAGTCTTAAGTCAGTGTTTGTAACAACATAGTCTTATGCTTTTTTGAGAAATTGAGATTTGAATTGAGGATACTAGATATTTTCAGAACGATAACCTTCTAATACCAACGATAATAAAAAATGTCACGCGGGCTAACTCTTGTTGATGCGTACCTCAATTCAAACTTGGGTAATTAAACCCGTATACTTAAAAACTATAAAGGAAAACCGACAAATTAAGATAGAACAAAATAACATGAGACTAAACTAAAGTGCGGTTCATAATTATACGAACACCTTGAATTTTGAAAATTTTCGGACTTTTTGAAGAAACTCAAGAAGCCGTTGGTACCACGCGATAGAGCACAGCCGAAAACGGTATATGATCCATAAGAATGGAAATCGATATCAATCTTAGGAGTGTTTTTGCGCCTAATGCGAATTTTGAGCGGTTCATAATTATACGAACACCTGAAACAAAGGTCCATTTTTCATTCAAGATTGCAATCTTTCGAGTCCAAATTTTTTGTAGAGTTACAGTAACAAAGTCTGAAACATCCGCTACACACTGAACCCAGTGCAGTTCAAAAAGAGGATCTTTACTTTTTTCAGATGGCTCTAAATGCTTTTGTAGTGATTGCGCTCCAAAAACATTTGTTCTTCTGTAGTTCACGCACTCTAATTAGCTTCCACCAAGGCTATGAGATAAAATAAGCTCTTGTGATAGATATTTTGTTTGACGCTTGGAAAATTTATGCGTTTTCGTGCCGCTTTTCAACCAAGTTCCAACTTCACCCCAAAGTTAGCACGATTTCGAGCCTCAAAACGCAGCTTTTCTCCCGCGCAAACACTTGATATGAAGCAGCTGCATTGTTTGCATGATGATGTATTCATGTCAAAGCTTTTCGGTTTTTTATAGAACTGATCTTGAGGCTATGTAGCTACAAACCAAATAAAGGTGTGACTGCAATAGTAAAAACAGTGGTTTTGGTGAAATGACGTTTGCGTGGCCGAAACAAATGCTCAACGCTGCTGATTTTTTCTAGCCGAATACACTGTCTTGTGAACTTCTACATACTATAAGCTTACTTCATTGTAGGGCTTCAGAAGCTGAGTTTAGAGGCTTGAAATCGTGCTAACTCTAGGGTAAGTTTGGAACTTGGTTGAAAAACGGCACGGAAACGCAAAGATTTTCCAAGCGTTAAACAAAATACCTATCGAAGGAGCTTATTTTATCTAATAACCTTGGTAGAAGCTAATTAGGGTGCGTGAACTACAGAAGAATGGATGTTTTTGAAGCGCAATCACTCCAAAAGCATTTAGAGCCATCTGAAAAGAGTAAAGATCCTCTTTTTGAACTGCACTGGGTTCAGTGTGTAGCGGATGTTTCAGACTTTATTACTGTAACTCTACAAAAAATTTAGACTCGAAAGATTGCACTCGCGAATGAAAAATGGACCTTTGTTTGAAGTGTTCGTATAATTATGAACCGCTCAAATTCGCATTAGGCGCAAAAACACTCCTAAGATTGACATCGATTTCCATTCTTATAGATCATATACCGTTTTCGGCTGTGGTCTATCGCGTGGTACCAACGGCTTCTTGAGTTTCTTCCAAAAAGTGTAAAAACTTTTAGAATATAGGGTGTTCGTATAATTATGAACCGCACTTTACATGACAAATGCAAATGAGTAGTGATGCCAAATGATACTGGCAGGAACAACTCATGAAAAGGATATGTGTGGCAATCATAAATGCTATAATACTTGTTTATCCTTTTCTACTCAATACTTGTTTTCCATACTTGCCTTTCATACTTGCTTGATATGATCCTTTTGAAATTGGAAGAGAAGAGCACGGAAAGCTTTTCAAAATCAAAGTCAGCAAATATGGGCCTACCGTAGCACAAGCTTATATACTTTTATAATGGATGATAAGTGGAAAAAGGCAATGGAGTCACCGGCCCTTAGCCGGCCATGCGACTGATTTGGCTCTTGACTCGCCAGTTAGACTCATCTGGCGCAGCTGGCGCTTTGACTCACTCGGCTGCACTGTTTTTGATGACTTAAAGTAAAATTGCAAGACTGAGGATACTGTATCTTGCAAACCTCGGATATTTACTTGTTTTTCCTTGTTGTCGCTGGCGACAAAATTGAGTAAAAGACAATTCGAAACTTATTGTACAGAATAGAGTTTCCTTCGGCTCGATTTGTAAAGTGTAGGCAGTGCCTCAAGTCAAAATTAAGCGCCTTTCGAGAAGCCAATAAGGATTTGTCTACAGAAATATTCATGTTTTTGAAATTTTTCATCTCTAATACTTTTTAAGAATGCTATTGCTCTTTTCTTTTTTCTGCTATACTTATTACTGCTTATCCGTTGGCGCAAGTTTGGAAATTGCATCCATTGTGAATTTGAGGTGGAATGGAGGTTGCGTCGTCTTGTTCCTGCATAGGTTATTTACGGTGAGTGGCACGAGACACTTTCTTGTTTTAGTTTGCCCTCTGGGAAGATCCTGCAGTATAATCGGGCGACTTAAGCTTCAAGAATCATATCATCAACGCGTTACCTAGGAAGAAAGGTGATGCGTTGGTATGGTATGTCTCAAATTACAAATTGTTGCGAAATACGTATTCCAGTCAATCTCACAAAATATATCTGTCAAACTTTATAAAATGGTGAATACTGGATCCATTCAATTCTAGCTGCGACTGAGATTGGTTATTGTTTATTCAAGGTAACGTTTCGGCAATGATTCGCCTTGCTTGGAACCCGGGAGACGGTCGAATGGCGCGTCTTGATCGATTGTCACTAATCAGAAAAACCAGGATAAAAGTTCGGATGTTTAGTACTTCCGGGATTTCAACTGATAATCCTCTGTTACTATTTCTGATACGATGACAAAACTTTGGGTTTGGAAACCTCGCTTTTGTAGAGTAAAAGTCCCTTCTGGCAACGACGGCTGCTGAAACGCGCGCCTTTCGACATACACCCAAATATTCCTTTTGATTTGCAGGAGTTACTTTCAGCATACATGCCTAAGCAGCGTGAGGTCTTTACCTCCAGTAAAGATCCGCTTACATCGTCCACATACATATATTGAGTTGGTGCAAAAATAATGGGCTTTTTCCAGGCTTGTATCAGAACAACTTTTTCCCGTCGAACTCTGTTCTTTGGAAAAAAAAAACTTAGCATACCACCGAAAGCTCTTTTCATGCTCTGTCTTGAATCGAGCTTCTGGACTTATTTGTTTAGAATTTACCTTCAAACAACCAAACTCAATCCAGAATTCCATTGCATTTACATTTTTGATCAGAATACAAGCGTAGATGACGGCATTTTTTTGAAAATTCAGCCTGTATGCAATCGAAATTTCCTCGAAATTTCGAAATGCAATCGTTATGCCCATTTATTTTTTCTGAAAGTATCTAGACTGAGATCTCGGCGCCTTAACATGGGTAGTAGAAGATTTGACCATTTTGTGGCCCTTGAACTTCTTTTAAAAAAGGCAAACGCCAAAGATTTGCTCATTTCTGTAAGCGTAGGGGCTCCTGTTAACAGTTTTTGCAAAATCGTCTAGCTCTTCAGTGCGCAGAAAATCAAGGAACTCCATAATTTGGGACTTTGAGGCCTTCGAGAAAATTTTGAAAAAAGCTGCCAGATTTTGATTTCAAATTTTTCTTTTCGCAAATTTTCTTGTTCAAACCCTTTTCTTCTTGTATCATTAGCTTGCGGCAAGATAGACTACCTATCATCTATACTAACAAACTGTGAAGGGAATTATGAGCTGTTAATGACGAGGTATCAAAAAAACTTTTCTGTTTATCGATCCGTATTTTTTTCCCGGATATAAGTGCAGGGGAATGTGCGCTGTATTGCGAAAAGTTGCTGCGTTCGATGGCCTTTATCTCAAGAAAAAATGTAGATCTTATAGAAGGTGATATCTCAGATAGTCATCAATTTGAGAACTCGTAAAAACGCTCATTATGTTTTGAACTAATCTAATATTTTTATGTGCTAATCACAGTGACTCCATAACTGTAACTATGCTTGCACTTACCTCAGTAAAGTTAACATGATTTTGGTATTAAAGACAAGTAGCCTCAAGTTCCGTGCAGAGGCGCCGCTACTTTTCTTTCCAAGCGTACCATAATAATGATCAATAAGCACATATTTTCGGTATTGTTGAACACAAAAAACATAATGCAAAAGATTTATTCGCTTGAAAAACTTATAGAGGATACGCACAAAGCTTGGGATACCCTTGAGATACTCCATTCTCGCAAGTCAGTACTTGACCGGGCTGATAAACTTTTTCTCCCACCACATTTCCTCTAAATCAGTACGTTGCATTGCTACAAACTGCACAATACTATGCTGAGGTCTGTGCTTACTTCGGACTGTAACGGCACACTACGATGGCTTTGCCATCGCAGTCTCCTATCTCGCATCCGATTTTATACGTTTTTGCCCAAACCATCTAGAAAATAAAAGCGTAAGAAAAGCGAAGGGTTGTGCTGTGTTTACGTACCTGCGACCAATGGTACACAGTAGGTTTCTTATCGGCGAAGAATTGCGTGAAGTCTATATTTTGGTTGATGCCATTTTTTATAATCTCCTCGAACCATGCGATTCCTGCCTATAACATCATACATCTACTACGCATTAATGCTATGGTTATAAAAACTGCTCCCTTGAGGGCGAGCTAGTGAAAAGCCCTAACTGTGATGACTCCAAATACGTACAGCAGAGACTCACTATGTACATAGCTTGTGCCGCTGTTCCAATCTCTTGGTATTCCTTGTTAATCATGTAAAAGTTTTCACCTTCATTGGTAAGTGATGTTTGAGAAGTTTCTGTCTGGGGGCAAGCAGAGGCAATCGAGTGTGCACTCGTTTCCAAATCACAATCGTATTTCTAAAAAAAGTTACTGTGCGAAAGAGATATCGAAAAGATAGGGAGTTATAGAAACAACCATTTCCAGCATGTTCTTTGCATATCTTATGTTGAAGGTGTTAACACCATTTTTGTATCCAGCCTTAGCTGTGGACTCCCTGAATTGGAAAGCACGCTATCACTTTTATGCAGTCATCTGCAAATGACTTCTCAGCTTTTGTTTATCGGCTGACCATACATGTTTTGATTACAGAGTACAACTGTCATAAGGTGACAACATCTCATGAGGTATGGGTACATTCTGACGTTAAAAAGAAACAGAATTGGTTTGGTTCTTCTAAGATGAAATATCTCAGCTAGTGCTTACAAGGGAAGCTTGTTTGGTCGAGCCTTTTTGAATGAGATGTAACCATATTGAAGGGCATAAAACGCTGACTCTAAATCTGCCTTTCTTATCTGCAGAGCGTTTACGCACTAGAAATTATGAGCTTTTTTGAAGCCAAAAAGAGCTAGAAAAAGTATTGCGACTATTTTTGTCCTACTTGCATATTCAATTTCTGGCCCAAATAAGCGCTCATCCTCGTCCATAAACGCTCTGCAAACAAGGAAGGCAGATCTGGAATCAGCAATTTATGTTCTTTAAGATGGTTTACGTCACATGTAGAAAGACCACTTTGACTGAACATGCATTCCTTGTTAGTGTAATTTCAAAATTGTCTCCGCTAACTGCACAACATCACCATAGTAGAGATCGTAGGCATTTCTCCTTGCAAGTGTATGGTCATAGAACAAATAGGGGAAACAGTAGAGTAGAATTTCCGCTTAATATAGTGTGTTTGCACAGAATGTGAAATGCGGTAAAATTTGCGCGTGAAGAAGTAGCCACACCAGTGCTGCCGGCATTTTGCCCCCGCAATTGGCCGACATCACAGTCGAAACTATTTGTTCACGCGCAAATTTTACCGCATTTCACATTCTGTGCAAACACACTATATTAAGCGGGAAATCTACTTGACTGCACACACATCATAACACATTCAGGCAGTATCAAATACAAACCTTTTGAGGTCTGCTCCATCATTCATAATATTACATTGCTAATGTCTGCTTTTTTGTGAACTTCTGCATAGCACCTTAAGCTATAATCAGCAAAGAGAAACGATTATAACGTTATCGAATGAAGTTAGGCAGTTGAGGATAGATTTCAAGTTGACAAAATGAGCTGCCTTGAGCTTTAGCTTTTCGGAATGACCGAATCAATACAGTTTTTGTACAGGGCAATAAAGCTATGTAGCGAAAGCGCTGCAAAAGCGCGAAAACTGATTGTCGACGATTTTCTTGAGTATCACTTTTGATACGAACTTACCTTTTCTGATTGTGGATATCTAAAATCATGTCTCTGCCGGTAGAATCAATTAAGTAGTCATCGTGATTGTCGCACTCTGAAAGCAAGATGTGGTTATGTGGTTTTATATAGTGAACTGAAACTTTGCAAAGCAGAGATAATGAAATCTCTCTTCTTAATTACTGTACGAACGTGCTTGTTGTGAAGTCGCAGACATCGAGCACAAGCATAACTAGCCTAAATTAGCCTAACTAGCCTAAAATCGAAATACTCGAGTTTAGCTCGAATAATGTTGGAAAATCGAAACACTCGAGTTTACAAAGCTCGAATAATGTTCGAAAATCGAATTACTCGAGTTAAGGCTAGTTAGCCTAAAGCCAGTTTTTGTATGTAAAGTATTGGTGTTTGATAATATTTGAATTTTATGTGCATTTCCAATATTGTGTGTTTTGAGCGCTAACTTTTCTTTAGTGCTCAAATTTTCTGATTTACATTTGTTTGCATGGAAATACAACCAACTAGCTAACAATTTGGTAACGGTGGCACCGCGCTGCGCTGTCTACGTTGTGTTGGCATAAGTTATATACCCCATTTCACATTTATTGCAAAGGTGGTAATCAACACCACTAGTAATTTACGGATCAGGCTTGCTAGGAGAAATGCTCTGCATCAGTGTTGTCTGATGACCTTAAAGCCAAAGCATTACATGATTCTCCACGTTGTGCCTCGCTGGCTTCAGCAATCACTTCAATGTTCACTCACTCTCTTCACTTTCCAGGGTCGGAGTATCTGAAATTCCCTTCACTTACAAAGAAACTGCTTTCGGCACGGAGCTGGCACTTCTCTAAGCTTGACTGGGTATCTATGGACATATCTTGCTATGTCGTCTGTCATCGCCATTTTTGATGATTACTGATTCATACATTAGACAATGAATTGAAAAATGGAGAAATAGGGCGCGCTCATGCCAGGAAAGTCATTTACTGGACTTTCATTTAATGATTTACCTACTTTGGCATGAATAATATATTGCATTCTTGCATTGCTAAACAAATGCCATACAGCATACAATACCCAGACAATAAAGGCTCTCAGCCGGTAGCCACAAAGCCACCGCCTAGACCCACCAAAAGCGCGGTGGCCTCATCGCCTCACTGTCGCTTCCCGCTGAAAACCATGTCTCGGAGCTGGCAGCGAGCGGGCTGAGCAGGCTTTGTGGCTGCCGTCTGAGAGCCTTGATTGTCTGAGTATATGTATAGTCTTGCGAAATACTTCGAGCTATCACCGGCGTAGTCCCTCTGTGTTTGACGACCAAGAGGGCTTTTACTACTTGCCCTGAATGCACACTTCCCACGGACGAAATAAGGATTACAACAGATATAATGAAACCTACAGTTTATAATTTGCTACTGCTAAAGAACATGTGCTCGTGCATTCCTACACACAAGCTTAACAAAGATGTAACTACCGACACTTTTTCCTTTTGTAGGAAGCGCCTATGTACAATTGCGCTCACATATTTACCACTGAACTTGCATAGCTGTAAAGTTTCAAAAAAATTTTTTAGCAGTGCGTACTTGGATAACATGCAATGGCACGTTTTGACTAGTTCCGTAACACTTAGAAAATACCTTGTAGGTGGTGAAATCAGCGACCATCACAACCAATCATAAAAACATTTGTATTCGCAGGAAAGCAAATCTGCAGAAACAGTTTGGCTTCAATTGAGCTAAAAAAGTAGTTTGATACATCCATGATTGGGAGGCGTGCAAGTGTTACCCAGGCAGCCGCCTGGTGCCGCAGCCAGCCGCCAGAGCTGGCACCAACGCCGCGGCTGAGCTACCGTAAGCGCGCTCTCGTCGTCCGCAATCTCTCGCAGAGAGATTTTCGCAGCAGCCTCGCACCTCATCGCGCTGAGGTGCGAGAATTCCCTCAGAGGTCGAGCTACTGCCACATATTATATATCGATCAACACAGCGGAAAATTTGTAATTTATTAGTAATATACATTACAAAGTATATACAAAAACAAAAAAAAGTTTAATAAATAAAAAACACAAAAAATCACAAGTGAAAATCACAGTCAAATTTACAATTTTACATCCGCACTGCTGTCAAATGGTTTTTTCTGTGACAAATTTCGACATTTTAATACAAAAACTATTTATAGAAGATGTTGGTATGTAATTTCCTGTCTCATACTCTTCTCTAAAGCTGCGTCTCATCAATAATTTTATTTCGGCGCAACACATCCTTCTTTCGTAATGGCTTCACGCTTCGAGGATGCTAAAAATTATTTTTACAAATGCATAGGACTAGAAAATATCAAACAAAAAATTTGAGCAACCTCCAAGTGGAGAAGAGTGCCTAGCGCGACAACTGATATTCTCTGTAAGCACTCGAGAAGCTGCTCGAAAGGAGGGTGCGTTCTTCTCCCTAACAAACCGCGCAATTTTCTAGAAAATTCAAGCACTGAAATTTCAGGAAAATTTTGAAAAATAAATCAAATATACTTATGGAACGCTTCGGCCGCGTTTGTAGTCCTGAGCTCCTCTATGTTAAACTTGTACCACATGTCCTTGTAGACACCCTCGAACCATGTTTTGCATAGATATTCTAGGAACTTTTTACATGGTTCGTAAGAAGGGTGCCTACTGTTCACCGGAGGGTACAACAGCGCAACAGCGCAACAACAGCACAAAATTTGCTAATACTTTTTTTCTAGCCTCCAGTGCTAAAGTCATTTTCCTTCTACTGAATTTAGTTGTATCTAGTTAGGGAACCTACATTTCCAAGAAGTTTTCAAAATCGAAAAGGCGGTTTCGTTGAAGTGGACACCGGGGCTTATTCTTTGTTTTGCGGTCCGTCTTGAAGTCTTTTGCCCCAAAGGTCACAACGAATTGTGTCAAAAAACCATTCAACAATCTATTTTATATTTTTTATGAACTTACTCCACGATATTATGCTTTCAATTTAATTTTTATTTTTTTTATTTATTTAACTTTTTTTTTGTTTTTGTATATATTTTGTAATGTATATTACTAATAGACTACAAATTTTCCGCTGTGTTGATCGATATATTAGGTTGAACCGAAAGTTCTGTCGCACCATTTTCAACAAGTCATAACTTCTTTCGCTCACGACGAGTTTGCGAAATTTAAATTTTATCAGAAAGCGTAAAGCATGTAGTTTCCAATGAATCCCTGGGGAGTTCCCGACATGCTCAGATGGCAGAGATAAAAATGAAAGAACGAGATCATCCGAAATTCGGAATTTTTAAGCAAGAATTCTAGAAATTCAGAAACAGTGCGATAAAATCCTGAAAAGCCATTATCCTAATTTTTCTTATTTTTGATTACTATCTGAGTCAAGTTTGTGCTGATCGAGGTCTTCTTTCAGAAGTTATGAATTTTTGAAAAAAATGCCAAAAAAAATCCATTTCTTAAGAATTTTTAGGAAATTGATTTTTCGGCATTATCTTTCAAAAAATCATAACTTCTGAAAGAAGACCTCGATCAGCACAAACTTGACTCAGATAGTAATCAAAAATAAGAAAAATTAGGATAATGGCTTTTCAGGATTTTATCGCACTGTTTCTGAATTTCTAGAATTCTTGCTTAAAAATTCCGAATTTCGGATGATCTCGTTCTTTCATTTTTATCTCTGCCATCTGAGCATGTGAGCAACTCCCCAGGGATTCATTGGAAACTACATGCTTTACGCTTTCTGATAAAATTTGAATTTCGCAAAATCGTCGTGAGCGAAAGAAGTTATGACTTGTTGAAAATGGTGCGACAGAACTTTCGGTTCAACCTAATATAATATGTGGCAGTAGCTCGACCTCTGAGGGAATTCTCGCACCTCAGCGCGATGAGGTGCGAGGCTGCTGCGAAAATCTCTCTGCGAGAGATTGCGGACGACGAGAGCGCGCTTACGGTAGCTCAGCCGCGGCGTTGGTGCCAGCTCTGGCGGCTGGCTGCGGCACCAGGCGGCTGCCTGGGTAACACTTGCTACGCACCCATCCATGATTTGATGTTTTCAACCTATCTAACGTACAACAATAACAAACTGACCATCAGCTCTTTCTTTTGGAAGCAAACCCTAATATAATTTTCGATGAGTGAGCTAGCATCCTGTACTGCGCTTTCCTCTGGTAAAACAGAGACGCTTGAAAGAACTCATAACAAATTTTGTTCTTATAATCAGAGGTCCGAATGACGCGTAACTTGGTTGGTCTGTGCAATGCACATACTGCGATAAAGGCGACTCGACTGTATCTGTTTCCCCTTCCTTCCCTCGCTGACGCCACAAACTCTAGCAGCAGAAATATTCGGTGGTTGAAGATTTTGAATGTCGCGTGAGGCATGCACAGCGACTGACATGACAGGTGTGACTGCGGAAGCACAAAAGATCTTCGGAGCATGTCCTGCAGATCTAAAACGGATCCGTCGCAACCCTTCTAACGTGACAGACTTGAACAACAACATAATGCACGAGTTTTATTCGTATGAAAATTTATGAGAAAGGAGGATATGCACAAAGAGAAGGATATCCTACGGATGTTCCATATGTGCAATCCAGTTTCTGGCCGGGTTGGTATACTTTGGTTCCGACGACATTTCCTCTAAATTGGAACATTGCTACATGTAAACTGCATAAGCATTTGCTAAATGCTGTCCATACTTAGGGCTATAACGACACACTACGATGGTGTACTGCTTATTCTTCAAATCTTCACAGTCCGCTATCTCGCAGCCAATTTTATACGTCTTCGCCCAAACCATTTGAAAAAGAAGAAATCGTTTAGTAGAAGCGTAAAAAGCGGAAGAAGTTCTAGTGCAAAATTTTCTTTACGTACTTGTGACCAATGGTATACAGTAGGCTTCTTATTAGCGAAGTATTGAGTGAAGTCTATATTTTGGTTGATGCCATTTTTCGTAATTTCGTCGAACCACTTGGTTCCTGCCTGTAACATCATACACTTAGCTTACATAATGAAGCCGTGATTGGAGAGCTGTCTCCGTGGTGTTTGCCAGTGGAGAGCTAAAGCTTTGATGAACCGAATATCAATAGCACTCGATGCAGTTTTCTTCCATTCTCTTTCTAATTGCTACAAACTTATTGCAGCACTGTCAACGAGTACTCGGAAAATCAACACAATCTGCGGCCCATGCTTTCTAAGATGTTCTAGTTTCATAATCTTTAATTAATTAAGAAATTTTAATGTCAATTTTCCGAAAGAGTCCAAGCAACGGATGGATAGAGCAACCTCTAAATGAATCAATACAACATTTTTTTCTCTTCTCATGGCTCGCCATAATTCTTTTCAATAAAATTTTTTTTGATAGTTTAATTTCCCTTTCGGTCGACTCAATCGTAAAGATAAAATGTTGATAAAATAGCGAAGCTACTCTCGCAAAGATCTAATACCTTAACTAATACGAATAATTTTCAAAGAAATTCAAATGGGCCTTGTAAAAAAAAGTATTTGAGCGTGGTTGACGTCACGCTTTCTTCTTCTAAAATTTCCGGATTATAGGTCCATCACTGCAAACTTACTGTGTACATAGCGTTTGATGCCGTTCCTATTTCTGAGTACACTTTGTCAATTTTCAAGAAATTTTCGCCTTCGGTAGTAAGCGACGTTTGGGGGGTTTCTGCGTCATTGCACTGTACTGCAATATCATGTGCAGCCTTCTCCAATTCGCAGTCGTACTTCTAAAAATTCGTAATGAAAATAATGCTGTTGAGAAAATAAACGCTCGGAAAGAAAAACCATTTCCATTATGTTCTTCGCGTGTCTTATCTTGAATTTGTTGACACCGTTTCTGTATTGAGCTGTAGCTGTCGCCACCCTGAATGCTCAATGGTGGCATTTGTTTTGATTGGGTCATGAGTGAGTATTTGTTCAATCAAGTGTTGAATATTGTCCAAATGCCCAAAAAATACTAAACACCATCATCATAGCTCTATCACGATTAATTGGAATTAGTGGAAGCTTTACTCTTGATCTCAATTTACATGCGCTTGATTTCGACCAGTTTGGGTTATTTAGCTTGCCCTAAACCAAAATGGGGAATGGGAAATGTCCACAGTTTTATGGAATAAAATCCTCGCTTTTGGACACCGAACTATGACCGTTTTTGGAGCGAAAAATGAATGCGAAATACACGTAAAAACAATTGCTACAATTTCTCCAGCGCTCAGATGAAGCAGAGTTAAGTATTAGCACATATTATACAAAATGTATCCATTGCATGAACTGCTCTGATACTCGACAACCGACCATTTGAGCAACTTTGAGCGATTTTGCTTCAGTTTGGCGTTCAATTTTTGACCCGAAAACGCCTTAATTCGGGGTTCAAAGGCGCAGGCAGATTTGGAATCACTGTGCAATACTCCAAACTAGTATGGGTCTCATCTGAAAAGGCCACTTCGACTACACGCTTCCCTTGTAAGCTTTTTTTGCAAAAAAACCAGCTAGCACAAAATAATTTCCATATGCGATATTTCTCTCGAGAAGCGTCGCAACTGCCAAATGTTATGCTTTGTGGCGGTTCTCTTTGATGCTTGAAAGCAAACTTACCTTTTTTGATTGTGAATCTTTAGAATCAGGTCTCTACCGGTGGAATCAATTGTGTGGTTAGGGTAATTGGCACACGCTGAAAGTAGAAAGTGGTTTACGCAGAAATCAAACATGGCAGAGAGTTTATCAAATCTCTTCTCTCCGCTACTGCACGAACGTGTTTGTGAAGAAATCGCAAACATCGAGCACAACCATAACTAAACGAAAAATTTTCAATATAATTTACTAGTTGGCAAACCCGGCCCCGCCCGGGCCTGTCAATAATATATTTGTAATCAGCATGCTCGATTACCCCCTGTGCCAACTCCCAGCCCTGTAGCTCAAATTTTGCGAAAAATCGATAAAATCGATATCGACCGATAACGAAAAGTAGCCTATGACACGCTTCCTGCCCCGAAGTATATGTGTGCCAAGTTTGGTCCAAATCGGTTCAGAAATAAAAATTTCTATTCCGCACATACGTACATACATACAGACAGACACACATTCAGCTTTATATATAAGATTCTTTCAGTGCCTTCTCATACTACCATCCATTCTCTAGTTTGTCATTACTGCTGTTCTGCGCTCGCAAATATTGTTATCTCGGCGATATGAAAGCGCTTTATACAACATGGAGACACAACGAATTTACACATGATAAAAGAGTATTTCTGATCCGTTTGTAAACGAAATTGTTCAGTTGCAAAGTCAATGAGCTTCCACTATTATGCTTGATGGTAGACTTTAAAGTGTCACTCTCAAAACGCAAATTTAAGGAGATACTTCTATTTGACACTTTCATCCTTCCGTATTTTCGTTTTGAGACATGCTGGATGGATAGTTGGACCAAGAATGGCATGAAAGAAGGTAGTGCAGCTTTACTGTTTGATCGCTCAAAATGAAACCAAAACTACTGAACAGAAGGCTAAATGCAACATACCGCTGTGACGATGAAGTATTCTCCAAGTGCTACCATTTTGCATATGTGGCTTCGCCTGCTTTCGTCCTTTTATGTTAAGTGGGTCCGAAAGTTTTGTCAGTTTTATCAATCCATTGCCAAACACGCTAGAATGAATATAAACAAGCGCTTCAAAATCTACACTATACTGAGGTTCCAAAGCTCGATTATTACTACTGCTACCATTACAAAGTATTTGAGCGATTTTCGCTTCAAATTATGAAGATTTTGAAACATAAGTTACTCAGTGCGCACTCCTGAAATTGAGAAATACTGCGATTTTTTCCACAAATTTCGCCTATCTCGGCAAAAAAGACAAGTGTTAGAAAGAGGAGAAAAATTTGCATCGAATGGTGACTGAACAGTTCAACATCTTGTGTTCTACGAGGTTAAAAGAAGCCGAATGTAAAATTTGGCCACTTCAGAAAATAAATCGTAGAAATTCTGAAAGCCAACCCGTAGGGCTACAAAAAATTGCGTCTGTTGACAAAAGGTTTGCCCTATCTGCTTATTATTAGGGCTCCTTCGAAAGTCTTACACAAAATTTTTGAAAATTAGCGAAATTTGGACATGGTAAAAACGAGTGGTTGTAATTGTAATTTCCAGCAAATATCTCGTCAATTTTGCGACGAAACACGATGTGAGTTGAGCAGCTGGAAAGAGGAAGAAATTCTGCATTGGATACATTTTAAAGCGCTTGTTTATCTTCATTTTAGCGTGTCTGCCGATGGATTGAAGAAACTAACAAAACTTTTGGGCCCACCTAATAGGTGCTATGAAGCTTTCGCTGAAAGAATTTGTGGGAAATTATATTATTGTATACCTATACAGTGTGGAAAATGTGAGACATGGACTGTACTTTAGAATAAACGCTTATTTTCTTCCTAATGAGGGTTTTGGTATGGAAGAAATTCACTGGTATGGCTTTCTATACAGCAATTTTATTATTGTATACTTATAAGCATGGAAAATGTGAGACATCGACTGTACTTTAAGGTTTTGCGTAATATGTTCCAAACGGCAACTAACATCTGTAGCGGCGAGAGTGAGCGACAGGAATCTCGATTGCTGGCGTCCGAAATAGCAGCATCAAACGGCTACTATTCGACAAAGTCTACACGCATTCGAAGAACAACTGCGAGACCAAATGACAAATCTGGCTTGATTCCTTTCAGCTTACCATTTATCTCAGACAGGGTAACCCACGCGATACAAAATTGTTTGGTGCAGCCCCAGCTAGAACGTGATGTCGTTCTCGTTAATATACCAAGGAACAACATCAGAAAGCAACTTGTGCGTAACAGATTGTACGACATAGCTTGCACTTTTCCATGCTGCGTCATTTGCCCTTACGGAAAGCCGGGGGATTGCGCAAGATCTGGAGTAGTCTACAAATTAGAATGCTTAGACTGCCATGCTACATATATCGGCTCGTACAGCTATGGAGGCGTCATTCATTCTATCCAGGAAGCCCAAAATGAATGGCAAAAATGAATAACTCTCTATCACAAGTGATCTCTTGCCGTTCCTGTCATATCGCCAGCTATAATGCCCACTATATAAACAGATCTTTAGAGGGACCACGTTTGTACTCTTGTCATCTCTGGGTGAAGCTAGGCACTGCTTTCGAAGCACATTATCAGCGTGACCCTGGTGAATTGTTAGTGAGCTGGATACTCGTTGATGTACACTTAGAATGAATTGAATAGTCGAGTGTAAAGGAGAGGTTTGGCCGTGTAAAGTGCAAGATTAAGGTGAATGACTGACTTTCAGGCCTCTGAGGAAGGCATTATTGCCGAAACGTTAGCCCGAATAAAACATTTATATCAAACCTGTCTGGCAAAGAAAGCTACTGAATATCTCGTCACTCTTGCGACGAAACACAATGCGAGTGTGGCAGCTGGAAAGAGGAAGAAATTCTGCATCGGATACATTTTAAAGTTTTTGTTTATCTTCATTCTAACGTGATTGCCGATGGATTGGAAAAACTGACAAAACTTTTGCACCGACCTCATAGGTGCTATGAAGCTTTCGCCGAAAGAGTTTGTGGGAAATTATATTATTGTATACCTATACAGTGTGGAAAATGTGAGACATGGACTGTACTTTAGAATAAACGCCTATTTTCTTGCTAATGAGGGTTTTGGTATGGAAGAAATTCAATGGTATGGCTTTCTATACAGCAATTCTATTATTGTATGGCAACAACTAAAGTGCATCGAACATGTCAACCGTAGTGCAGAGGATAGTAGGTTGGTCTCACAGTCAAGAGAGTGAGTGAAATCTCGCTTAGGTGTTCTCTTTTGCTGTTAGTTGGCATTCTTCGGAAATTCCGTAGCACCTCATCTGGGAACATCCGCAGCACGTTTGCGGAACTTCCGCTGACCCGGCTGAACTTTCTCAAACGTTCTGCAGAAGTTCCGGTCAGTTTTCTGAGTAGTGGAAGTAACTCAAACTGGTGAAAATCAACCGTTGAAGAAAAGTATCTATTAGCTTCGCATTTGTACTCATTTACACAGCTCAAATGTTTTTCAAATTTCGAAATTCCAAACAAATGCAGCTTGTTTTTACTAGACTCCTTTTCCTACTTCTTTTGGAGTTTCAGAACCCCTTATGATAGTCAACGCAATTTTATGACTTCTGGATTAGCAAGCTCATGGTAGCAAAAGACGTTGTAACTTACAAAGTTCTCTTTTTTCTACAAAAATCAGAAACTGAAGTATTGAAACGAGGAACGTAAGGAGTAAAGGCACAAAGTCCGCTGGAGAGGAGCCCTATAAATACTTTGATGCTGCGGTGAAAAATGCTCTGTGACGCCAATTATAAAAATTAGTAAGTAATGAATACTAGTCCACAGGTATTTCTTTTGAGAGGATTATCGAAATCAACATATAACTATCTATAACTTTTGCTAATCTCTTTCTGCAATACATCAAAGTTATAGTATTGTTTGCCGTCAAATTTGGCCACGTCGCCGTACAGACCAATGAACGATAATGTTTTCGGAAAATTTGTGCTGAACGTGCCATAAACGCTGAGATTGCAAAGCGCATTTACAAATTGTTGCTGAAATCTATGGATTTCATCAAACACAGAGCATCGTATACTTGCTTCGAAATCCACTTTTATTTCTTATTTCCACTTCAATTACAGTTTGGTAGGAGAGTGATCGCTCACGTGTCGTTCCGTTCACTTTTGGCTTGTTTTTTCCAAGTTTTATTCAGAGAAAGATTCCGAAACATATGAATAAGGACTGGGTTTCGAATGAGCACAATTATTCATGCGTCTCTTCAAAGGTTTTTTTTTCAGGAAGACTAATATGAGCGTTTGTTGTGACAGTCCAAGCTTTACTTGGGCCATATTCTCTCAATACCTTAGTTAATCTACTGCAGCCAAAAATTGTGAAGAACGTTAGGAACTGCGAAATTCGATTTTCCACTTCTAACTCTAGGTTGATCGGAGAGCACGCAGGTTTGGGAAATTAACACGTTGAAGACAACACAAACTCTCTATTGTTCACCTCTTGGGACCAAAACCTTTCACGTACCAGTCATCATTTTTCAGATAAAATCACGCATAATGCCATCTACAGTACACTTGCAGTAGCTGTGGAAGGCTGACAAAAAAGATAGAGGTTGATTCTAGATTCACAGCAAAAGAAAACGTTTGGAATGAGTTTATACTAGATAGTCTTCATTTTAAGGAAGTTCAAGCCTTGGGTCCCGTGGTAGTCATTGCTTGACGCACATGGTGTGTCAAGCGGTCGTCAATGTGTTAAATATGGCGCATTGACAGTCGCAGGCGTACTGTATGATCACAAGCAATTCGCTCATCTTGATATATCTTTTCCCTCAACAGTGAAATCCCAATAAATTTTCAGAATCGAAACTTTTTAGATCACTGCATACACAGTACCCTTGGCGAAAATACACACTGGACATTCCATTTCATAGTTGGCAGGCTTGCGAAATCGCTGTTAATTAGGTGAATACTTCAATTCCTCTCCCTTCAAGCCACCACTTTGAAGTCACAGCAAGCAGTGGGCTTTGTTCATGTAAATAAAGCTTCGTAAATATTGCGAAAAAGAAAAACTGGAAGGGCGTGCATAAAAACATTTCGTCTGAGATACGAGCCTTTTTCTATTTTCTCTCGCACTCATGAATAGCGTTGAGTCCTCTGAGGTTGTGATAATGAGGGGCAGTGTTCCCCCATAATATTTGATGGTACAGCAAGATAATCAAAATTTAGCATAGAGTACTTGCACTTGAATGCTACATTTGAAAATTTGGGACAAACGAGTGGAACTGTAACATTGGAATCCCAAAAATCTAAACATACTCATAATTAATTAACGTCAACATACGTTGACGTTAATTAATTTGAAAAGTTGTTAGTTTTACTCACTGTAAAACAGGAAATTCTGTGCTATACAAATGAGTACTATCAGAAGAAATTTCGTCATTATAGACAATCACGTTGTCTTTACAGTTCACTGTGTTGCCAAAGTGCAGTTCGCCAGATGTTGATGCTATAAATACTGATAAGTGGCGCATCAATAGTTGGTCATAAATGATTTTTTTTTTGTAATATTATGAAACACATTTCGTCGTAGTTGCAGTAGAGATATGTACTTTACAATTTTATTTAGGGTGTATTAGGCACAATCTAGTCATGCTTAGCCGCTTAAATAGTAGAAATAAAAGTAGTATAACTAATAAAAAATAAAAATAAAAATAAAATCAATAATAATAATTTGAGATAATAAAATAATAACTATAATAATCAAACTTTAATGATATTCTCTCGGAGTCAGTGGAGTCTTCCCGGAATCTTCTGAATAAGAGCAATTGCTAGTCTATCTGCCGAGCCCTGCTTTGCTTACTTCATTACTTCGAAACTTCTGATGGCAAACGAGTAGGCGTGAACACCTTCTCCATAGCTTACAGCAATTTAAATTGATTTTCTTGACCACATATAAGTAATTTATTCACCATAGGTCTTCTTACTACTCGGTCTCGAGTCATTGGACGTAGCCTCTTTGATGAGAATATATCTATCACGCAAATCTGAGTTATTTAGAATATCTCAGTGATGATTGCTGGCAATAATGGGTTTATGGGCCCCTCCATGATCACATCAATTAAATTCTGACAAATGTAGTCTAGAAAAGTCACATACAAGTAATCAATATATAGTTCTCCATCAGTTTATTTGGACCCGAACTTTATGGTGAACTTTGATTGCGGTTGTATGAATAATTGTGTGCTCTGTTCTTTGTTCTTTTGGAAGGAACGCAAGAACGCAGGTATGGAATATACAGGGTGTCTCAAAAAAATGTTTAGAACGTTTGATCGTTAATATCTCTCTTCCCAAGAAGTCTTTTGAATTGCTTCAGGTACCGTTTTGTAGAGCTGGCTTCAACTTAGATTTCCATTATAGAACGAATCACCCACCTCTCTTCTTTACTGTAAGGTTACGGTAGAAACTTCAAAGAGGGTTTCGAACCAAGGCCATATTTTCCCTCAGAAAGGAAACAAAACAGCCTGAAAACTTTTACACCAGGCTAATTAGAATCGCTGATTATAACTGTAAAGTTCCCAACTCAATATGATGCTTCATTGAAGAGTTATGCCAGGTGAGAGGTAGCGGCCTTTTTTTCAATGTTCCTAAAAAGTGCGATTACACCGTTTAGAAAGCTTCGTAATCTTGTGAATAGATGAATATTGAACTCAGCGTCTATAAAAACCCTATTACACAAGTTTTCACAATTTTCTAAAAAATTTTGAAACGGCTGTTTTTTCCATATTGACACCATATGTTTCAAGTTTCTACCGTAATCCTACAGTAATGAAGAGAGATGGGTGATTCGTTCTATAATGGAAATCTAAGCTGAAGCCAGCTTTACAAAACGGTACCTGAAGTAAGGCAAAAGACTTCTTGGAAAGAGAGATATTAACGATCAAACGTTCTAAACATTTTTTTGGGACACCCTGTATAATTAAATAAAAAACATGTTGCAAATGATTTCTGCTAATTAATATAGAAGTGTTTTTATGAGATCTTTCCTCAATGATGTGAAAAATGTCAGCAATATTACGAAAACAATCTATTGTTTTGAGTGCACACAAATCCTTCAGGCTTATGTCCTGAATAACAAATATCTTGTCATCTTCTAGATACGACCAGAAGCAGCAAACCATTTGCTACACAGCGCGCACTGACCTATACTCATATCACAAACCAGCGGAAAATATGGATTAAAAACTATAAAAAAATTCTGAATCTTTTTCTGACGAATCAAAACTCCCTTCATATTGAGTATCTTATCTTGTAGCCGCAAGCCAGTAGTGAAAGTGATGATGAAAAGACTGGAACCAAAAAGAATTGCGAAAAGAAAAAATTAACTCAAAATGGTCAGCTTTTCTCAACATTTTTAAGTAGGCTTTAAAGTACCAAATAATGGAAATTTTCGATTTTCTGCATATTAACCTTTTTAATGTTTTTACAGGAAATACCAAGACGATGCCCTATCCTAAGTGCCGGTATCTTGTCTAGAGTAAAAAAATATTTGAATGTGCTTAATGCAAGCAATTTCTGCTACTTATAGCGGAATTTTTGAAGAGCCTTACATTTGCGCTAGCTAGAAGTCCGTGTTGACCTCGCTAGATTAAGCATGAAAAGAGCTTTTCAATGATATGCTAAATCTGTTTCAAAAAAGAATTTCGGTAGAAGAAAGTTGCTTTGAAATGTGCTTGAGCTTTAAACGGGAATTAGCAATCTCTTTACTTGACTGACGTTTTGTCTATATATCTTCTTCAGTGTCTAAGGCCGTGGGCATACCTCACGCAATTTTAGTCGCCGCGCGACAAGACAGGGTGCCAGATTTCTTTAAGTTCGATACGGGCAGATAGCAGCAGCATGCGCAGCATTAATAACTATAGTAGGGTGATAAAATGCTCTCTCCCAAACAATCAGAAACCCCTTACAATGAATTTTAATAATTAGAGTATTGCCAGTTCACTTCGTGACTGAAGTCGGGTGAGGTATGCCGAAGGCCTAAATCAGCTGGTGACTCTCTGAAAGGCTGATCCCGATGTAAAGCTTGAAAAAAGCTTAGGAAAACGCTCATTAATATATTATCAATTTTGTTTTTTCATTTTCAATTTCTGAAAAACGAATTTTTTTGCCCGTTTGTGATATGAGTGTAGTGATTGTACTAAACACACAGTAACTTCAAACTCTATATAGAGGCGCCGCTATTTTTCTTCCCAAGCATACCATAAGAATGATCAACTAGCATACATTTTCGGTAATGTTGAATACAAAAAACATAATGCAAAAGATTTATTCGCTTGAAAAACTTATAGAGGATACGCACAAAGCTTGGGATACCCTTGAGATACTCCATTCTCGCAAGTCAGTACTTGACCGGGCTGATAAACTTTTTCTCCCACCACATTTCCTCTAAATCAGTACGTTGCATTGCTACAAACTGCATAATACTATGCTGAGGTCTATGCTTACTTCGGACTGTAACGGCACACTACGATGGTTTTGCCATCGCAGTCTCCTATCTCGCATCCGATTTTATACGTTTTTGCCCAAACCATCTAGAAAATAAAAGCGTAAGAGAAACGAAGGGTTGTGCTGTGTTTACGTACCTGCGACCAATGGTACACAGTAGGTTTCTTATCGGCGAAGAATTGCGTGAAGTCTATATTTTGGTTGATGCCATTTTTTGTAATCTCTTCGAACCATGCGGTTCCTGCCTATAACATCATACATCTACATACACATTAATGCTATGGTTGAAAAACTGCTCCCTTAAGGGCGAGCTAGTGGAGAAGCCCTAACTGTGATGACTCCAAATACGTACAGCAGAGACTCACTATGTACATAGCTTGTGACGCTGATCCAATCTCTTGGTATTCCTTGTTAATCATGTAAAAGTTTTCACCTTCATTGGTAAGTGATGTTTGAGAAGTTTCTGTCTGGGGGCAAGCAGAGGCAATCGAGTGTGCACTCGTTTCCAAATCACAATCGTATTTCTAAAAAAAGTTACTGTGCGAAAGAGATATCGAAAAGATAGGGAGTTATAGAAACAACCATTTCCAACATGTTCTTTGCATATCTTATGTTGAAGGTGTTAACACCATTTTTGTATCCAGCCTTAGCTGTGGACTCCCTGAATTGGAAAGCACGCTATCACTTTTATGCAGTCATCTGCAATGACTTCTCAGCTTTTGTTTATCTGCTGACCATACATGTTCTTATTACAGAGTACAAGCCAAAAATTGAGCGTGCATTTTGGATAAAATGAGTTGCTAAGGTTTTACTAGCTCTCAAATGATGCAACCGAGCGTGGTATATTTTTTATTTGGGAGTATTTTTCAAATAAAGTGCTTTGATGATTATCACTGCTCCATTAAAAAGCTAGAAAAAGCATTACAGCTATTCTTGTCCTACTTGCATATTCAATTTTTGGCCCAAATGAGCGCTCATAACCCCTCGTCCATAAACGCTCTGCAAATAAGGAAAGCAGATCTGGAATCAGCAATTTATGTCCTTTAATATGTTTTACGTCACATGTAGAAGGACCACTTCGACTGAACATGCATTCCTTGTTGGTGTAATTATAAAATTGTCTCCGCTAACTGCACAACATCACCATAGTAGAGATCGTAGGCATTTCTCCTTGCAAGTGTATGGTCATAGAACAATTAGGGGGTACACACATCACAACACATTCAGGCAGTATCAAATACAAACCTTTTGAGGTGTGCTCTATCATTCATGATATTATATGGTAATGTGTGCTTCTCTGTGAACTTCTGCATAGCGCTCTATGCTATAATCAGCAAGCAGAAACGATTATAACGTTATCGAATGAAGTTAGGCAGTTGAGGATAAATTTCAAGTTGACACATTGAGCTGCCTTAAGCACTAGCTTTTCAGTCAGAATTACCGAATCAATAGAATCAGTTTTTGTACAGGGCAATAAAGCTATGTAGCGAAAGCGCTGCAAAAGCGAACTGATTGACGGCGATTTTCTTGAGTATCACTTTTGATACAAACTTACCTTTTCTGATTGTGGATTTCTAAGATGATGTCTCTGCCGGTAGAATCAATTAAGTAGTCATCGTGATTGTCGCACTCTGAAAGCAAGATGTGTTTTTATACCATGAAACTGAAACTTTGAGCAGAGATAATCAAATCTCTCCTCTTAATTACTGTACGAACGTGCTTGTAGTGAAGTCGCAAACATCGAGCACAACCATAACTAAACAAAATTTTTTAGTATATTTTTCTTCTTCCATGCTCATACTAGAATTCATCATGTGCATCTGAGCTTTTGTTATGACTGTGGTGTTGCGCTTGCGAACAACTGCAACCGCAATTTGAAAAACTTTCGTTCAGGATTGAGGCGACGAATATATTAAAAGATAAAGTTTTGAAGACGATCGCTACAGTAAATTTTTAGAAGTTACCTAAATACACTGAAAAGTACTAGGTGTTCAAACTTCTGGATTTGGTAAGCGAAGTCGCTCAGCTATAGATAATCGAGTTTCCATGGAATTTTGGTCTATTTAATGTGTGTAGACTTCAAGGCATCACCTTCAAGGAATTGCAGAAGATGTAGGGTACTAATAGTTAATTTGATAGGGTACTTTCATTCAGCATTCTGCACATCCTTTCGTAACAAACCAATTGATTGATTTGATCTCATGAAGAAGCATGAAAGACGAAAAAAGTGAAGCAAGCGTTCTAAAGCATTATCTCAAAAATTTCACCCTAACTTTATTTCCAATATATTCACTAATAATATTCACTTAGAGTGAAGAGTAGCTGTCTTAAAGCAAGGCTAAATGCAACATACCGTTGTGACGATGGGGTGTTCTCCAAGTGCTGCCATATTGCTATGTGGCTTCGTCTGCTTTCGCCCTTTTATAAGTGTTATGAAGCTTTCGCTGAACGAATTTGTGTGAAATTTTGTTATTGTATACCTATACAGTATGGAAAATGTGAGACATCGACTGTACTTCAAGATAAACGCCTATTTTCTTGCTAATGAGGGTTTTGGTATGGAAGAATTCAACGGTGTGGCTTTCTATATAGCATTTATCGTCTTGTACTATACAGTATGGGAAATGTGAGACATCGATCGTTTACTTCAAGATAAACACCTATTTTGTTGCTAATGAGGGTTTCGGCACGGAAGGAAAACCATGGTGTGGCTTTCTATATAGCACTGTCAATATAGTTTTCGTATAAAGCAAAACTGTAAGCATCCCAGTAATTTTCGGTGCAATGCGCATCCATTTTTAGCTTTCTGTTGATAGTGAAGGACCATCATGGAAAGTCTGACTGGAGCAGCGCTAACTTTTTGTGTTGACTACTAACAGACAAAATATTTCCTAACGTAATTGAAGATACACCTCAATTCAAAAGCAGCACATGTTGAACAAATAGATGATTAAAAATGGGCGAGAACTAGTGGAAGTAACCTAAACTGGTAAAACTCAACCCCCAAAGAAAAGTATAAACGAGGTTTGCATCTGTACTCATCTACACAGCTTAAATGCTTTTCAAGTGTCGAAATGCTGAACCACTGCAGCTTGTTTCTGCTAGAGTTTTCCCTAAGTTTTTGCAGTTTTAGACACCTTACGATGCCGACCGCAATTTCCACCCCACTTAGTTCATATGACTTCTGGATTAGAAAGCTCATGGTAGCAAAAGACGTTGTAACTTGTAAAATTCACTTTTTACAAAAATCAGAAACTGAAGTAGTGGAACGAGGAATGTAAGGAGCAAAGGCACAAAATTTGCTGCAGAGGATTCCTATAAATACGTTGATGCTGCGGAAAAAATGCTTTGTAACACCAATTATAAAGGTTAATAAGTAACGAATACTAGTCTACAGTTATTTCTTTTGAAAGGATTATCGAAATCAGCATATAACTATCTATAACTTTTGCTAATCTCTTCCTACAACATAACTAGTTTGCCGTCAAATTTGGTCACGTTGCAGTACAGACCAATAAACGATTGTTTTTAATACTTTACGTGTCATAAACGCTGATCCTGCAAAATTTGCATTTACGAATTGTTGCCGTTTATAGAATTGATAGAATTGATCAAATGCGAAACATCGTATTCTTCCAAATCCACTTTGTTATTGCTATTTTCACTTCAGTTACGGTTTGATAGGAGAATGATCGCTCAAGTGTTGTTCCGTTCACTTTTGGCTTGTTTTTTCTAATTTATTCAGAGAAAGACAAAAAAAGAAATATATTAGGTCGTTCCGAAAGTAATGTCGCTTTTTTCAAACGTACGCCACATTTCGTGGAACAAAGATGTGTAAGAGATTCTGGTAGCATTTGATGCAGGATTTCATTTTCTTTTTAATGGTTATATAACTATCGCACAAAATTGAATAACCTCTGGGAAAATTATCGGAATCTGCGACCCATGCTTTTTGAGAAGCTCAAGTTTTACAATTTTTCCAAATTTTTATAACAAGCCCCGGAAGGAGTCCAAGTTATGTGTGAATAGAGTAAACCCTACGAGAAACAGCACAACTTTTTTCTATTTTTCAGAGCTCGTCATAATTTCTGTATAGATTTTTTGATGGAACCACCGAATTTTAACAGGCTCGTCTCAGACACAAATGCATCAAACACTAAGAAATCGTCGGATTTTGAAACTTACAAAATGGATTATGGTTTTACACTAATTTTACAAAGCAAATGAGCGTTTGCCGCTTCAGATTAGCAATTTTCGAAAATTCCGGGTACAGCCGGAGGCGCCCTGGAAAACCAGAATTATGATAATTTTGTCTCGGAAAACTTGATGAATCGGAAACCAAAAACAGCTGATAAAAAGAGGAGAAAAAGCTGCGTCGAATGACACCCGAGTTGCTTGCCGGTTGTTGTTCTGTGAGGTTTGAGTTGACCAAATATGGAATTTGATGGCATTTTAAAACTGATTCCAAAAACTCTAAGAAGCAAGCTAAGGAAAAGAAAAAAATTACTCTATGTTCTATAGTGTTTGCTCTATCTACCTGTAACTTGTACTTTTTCGGAGATTAGGTACAAAAATTTAGAAAAACAGCCGAACTTGACCATGGCAAAAAGCATAAGTCGCAGATTTCGTTGATTTTTCGAGAGTGCATTGAAAATTATGCAATGATTTTACAACCATTGGAAAGAGGATGAAATGCTGCATCGAATGCTCCTAAGATCTTTTGAAAATTTTGATTCCATGAAATGTGGCGTTCGTTTGAAAAAAGCGACATTACTTTCGGAACGACCTAATATAAATAAACTGGGTTTCGACTAAGCACAATTATTCATGCGTCTTTTCAAAGGTTTTTTTTTTCAGGAAGGCCAATATGAACGTTCGTTGTGACAGTCCAAGCTTTACTTGGGCCATATTCTCTTAATACCTTAGTTAATCTACCACAGTCAAAAATTGTGAAGAACGTTAGGAACTGCGAAATTCGATTTTCCACTTCTAACTCTAGGTTGATCGGAGAGCACGCAGGTTTGGGAAATTAACACGTTGAAGACAACGCAAACTTTCTATTGTTTACCTCTTGGGACCAAAACCTTTCACGGACCAGTCATCATTTTTCAGATAAAATCACGCATAATGCCATCTACAGTATACCTACAGTAGCTGTGGAAGGCTGACAAAAAAGATAGAGGTTACTTCTAGATTCACAACAAAAGAAAATTTCTGGAATGAGTTTATATTAGGTCTTCATTTTAACGAAGTTCAAGCCTTGGGTCCCACGTGGCAGTCATCGCTTGACGCCCATGGTCTGTCAAGCGGTCGTCAATGTGTTAAATATGGCGCATTGACAGTCGCAGGCGTACTGTATGATCACAAGCAATTCGCTCATCTTGATATATCTTTTCCCTCAACAGTGAAATCCTAATAAATTTTTTGGAATCAAGACTTTATAGATCTCGGCATACACAGTACCCTTGGCGAAAATACACCCAGGACATTCCATTTCATAGTCGGAGAGATCTTAGCAGGCTTGCGAAATCCTTGCAATGACTCGCTGTTACCAGGTCAGTACTTCAATTCCTCTCCTTTCAAGGCACCATTTCAAATCACAGCAAGCAGTGGGCTTTGTTTATGTAAATAAAGCTTCATAAATAGTGCGAAAAAGAAATAACTGGAAGGACGTGCATAAAAACATTTCTTTTGAGATACGAACATTCTTCTATTTTCTTTCGCACTCATGAATAACGTTGAGGCTATCATCGCAATCCATAATGATTGAGTTGTTTACATTATTTTTTTGTCCACATGCATGTCAATAAAATTTTATGCCCCACCAGCATGTTATCACTGTACCTATGGTTGCACGCTCGTTATTTCAATAAAATATCACTGCTATTTGATATAATTACATGGAAACTGCCAAACTTTATCGATGCTGCTTACCCGATGAAGTTATGCCATAAGACTAGTTAGCCACCGCAGATTCCTTATGTTGTGATAATCAGGGGCTGTTCCCCCATAAATATTTGAAATGGTAAAGCAAAATAATCGGAATTTAGCATAGAGTACTTGCACTTGAAAGCTACACATTCTGAAAGAATTGGGACAAACGAGTGAAAGAACTGTAACACTAGAGCCTCAAAGATCTAAATATACTACTTGTTCACGTTAAATGATTTGAAAAAGTTGGTTAATTTTATCTTATACAAGGTGTCCCAAAAAAAATGTATCGAACGTTTGGTCGTTAATATCTCTCTTCTGAAGAAGTCTTCTTCCTTGCATCAGGTACCAATCTATAGAGCTGGCTTCAACTTAGATTTGCCTTATAGAACGAATCACTCATCTCTCTTCATTACTGTAGGATTACGGTAGAAACTTCAAAGAGGGTTTTAAGCAATGAAAGGTCATATTTTGCCTCAGAAAGGAAACAAAACAGCCTCAAAACTTTTACACTAAGCTAATTAGAGTTGCTGATTATAACTGTGAAGTTCCCAACTTATTATGATGCTTCATTGAAGAGTTATGCCAGGTAAGAGGTAGCGGCCATTTTTCGATGTTCCTAAAAAGTGCGGTCACACCGTTTAGAGACTTCGTAATCTCGTGAATAGTTGAGTATTAAACTCAGGGTCCATAAAAACCCTATTACACAAGTTTTCACATTTTTTTTGAAAAATTTTGAAACGGCAACTTTTTCCACATTGACACCATATGTTTCCAGTTTCTACCGTAATCCTACAGTAATGAAGGGAGCTGGGTGATTCGTTCTATAATGCAAATCTAAGTTGAAGCCAGCTCTACAAAACGGTACCTGAAGCAAGGCAAAAGACTTCTTGGGAAGAGAGATATTAACGATCAAACGTTCGATACAGTTTTTTGGGACACCCTGTATATAAAGCTGAATGTCTGTTTGTCTGTATGTCTGTATGTCTGTATGTGTGTAAGTATGTTCCGAATAGAAAATTCTATTTCTGAACCGATCCGGACCAAACTTGGCACACATACATTTCGGGCCCCGGCGGGTGTCATAGGCTACTTTTCGTCATCGATCGATATTGATTTTATCGATTTTTTGCAAAATTTGAGCTACGGGGCTGGGAGTTGGCACAGGGGGGCAATCGAGCATGCTGATTACGAATATAATAATGACAGGGCCGGGCGGAGCCGAAGTCAATTAGTCCACTGTAAAATAGGAAATTCTGTGTTATACAAGTAGGTACCATCAGAAGACAATTGCGTCATTATATTAGGTGTTCCGAAAGTTTTGTCCGTTTCAAACCACCATAAAACCACGTACAATAAACGAGTGGACGAGTATTAACATGCATTAGATGCGATTTTTCATTTTCTTTCTTACGGACACATTTCCGTACTACAACTTTGTGCGTTTCTGATAATTGCCAGAATTCTCTACCCGTCAAATCTGCTCAAAGCTTGGCTAATTTTCAAAAATTTCGTTCCAATGTTTCGGAAAGGTTCAAGTATGGATCAAATAGAGCGATTCTCGGACTACAAGGTGGTTTTATTAGAATCTTCCAATCTGGTGTTTTTGGCTCCAAAAAATTATTTCTGCTGAGGTCTCGATTTTTGGGAAAGTCATGAAACACGCAAATGCGGCAAATACACGAAAAGTCGCGAATTAAAACATGATTCTTATTAAACATTATTTTTGCAACATAATCAAGTTTGGTTTGCTCTGAAAAAGCAGCTTTTTGGAATTTTCGTCACTTTTACGCGGTAAAAGTAATCAAAAAGCTGCAGTTTTCATCACAGAAATAACTATAACGGACTTGGTAAATGTGGCCCTTGTAATCCAAAATGGGTATAATGTAGCCAAGGGCTTGTTCTACATAACACTTACCATCGCTCTTCGAAAAATTTAGAATAAAAAGTATTAGAATTCAAGAAAATTTGACGCTACTGCTGAGCTGCTCAAAAAGCCAGGCGATAACATTGCAACAGGGTAATTCAGAGAACAAATATAGCTGTAAGAGAGGGGATAACAATATGAATTAACTGACACCTAAGTCGTCCATGGATCTTACAAGGAAAGGAAGTTCGGTTGGGTGGCCTTTCAAAATGAAATCTATACTATCTTGTAGAGCTTGAAACGCTGATAACATCGCTGCCTTTGCTATCTGCTGCGGGCTTCTGGGTGAGAAGTTATAAAGATTTTTGTGAGTAAAAACTTAAATGCAAGATCAGTGTAAAATCTCGTAACATTTTTTTGGAGCTTAACTAATAGTCGGGTCACTCGGTGCAGCACATTCTTGATTCACATATACCAACTTGTTGCTGCCTCGTTGAACGTCAGGAAAAGGTTACGGATTTTATACTGATCTTGCATTTGAATTTTTACTCACAAAAACCTTCATAACTCCTCGCCCAGAATCCCGCAGCACAAAGCAAAGGTATTAGGTTGTCAAGAAAATAATGTCCGTTTTTATTTGCTTGCTTTGACAAAGCAACTACACTCAACTCAACAAAGGGTAAGGGGGACTGTTCGATAGAGCAAAGCAAGCTCTACAAGATGGCACTCATGTTTTTGCGCCATGCTCGATCCACGGAAAGTTCGAACTCAAAATCTAAAGATTTCCAAATGCCCAAAAAATCGAAAAAAATCAGATCTTCGTCCAAATAATTTCTACGGACCTCCCAGTCGCTCACATCAATACTATCAATATCTGATGTCCATATGTGCGATTGCCGTATTTTTTCCTTGACTAGAAACTGAGAAAACGAAAATTTCCCTGATTTTCTCAAAGCAAGCTGAGCCGTTTTTGCATAAGTAGTTCTATACTACAAGCCTAGGTAAGTATAACTGTAGATTTTCGGCCCATTCCAAACGGTAGTTTTCGAAAAATAACGAATTCGGATTTTTTCGTTTCAGTTTCAGTGCTAAAATCGACATTTCTCAAAAAGTACCGCTCGAAATAGGCTGAAAGCCTACTTACCGAGACTTGTGGTATAGAATTACATATGCAAAAACGGCTCAGCTTTGCTTTGAGAAAATCAGGGAAATTTTCGTTTTCTCAGTTTCTAGTCAAGGAAAAAATACGGCAATCGCACATATGGATATCAGATATCGATAGTATTGATGTGAGCGAGTGGGAGGTCCGTAGAAATTATTTGGACGAAGATCTGATTTTTTTCGATTTTTTGGGCATTTGGAAATCTTTAGATTTTGAGTTCGAACTTTCCGTGGATCGAGCATGGCGCAAAAACATGAGTGCCATCTTGTAGAGCTTGCTTTGCTCTATCGAACAGTCCCCCTTACCCTTTGTTGAGTTGAGTGTAGTTGCTTTGTTAAAGCAAGCAAATAAAAACGGACATTATTTTCTTGACAACCTAATAGATTTGGAATCAGCCTTCCAAGCTCTACAAGCATTGTACATCTCATTTTAAAAGGCCACTTCGACCAACCTTCCTTCCCTTGTTAGTTCTGTGAGTTTTAGTGAGCGATGAAAAAAACGGACAAAACTTTCGGGACAACTAATAGATAATCACGTTGTCTTTACAGTTTACTGTTGCCAAAGTGCAGTTTGCCAGATGTTGATGCTATAAATACTGATAAGTGGCGCATTGATAGTTGGTCATAAATAAAAAAGAGTTTTTTTTTGTAATATTATGAAACTCGATTCGTCATAGTTGCTTAGTAGAGATATGTACTTTACAATTTTATTTAGGTTGTATTTGGCACAATCTAGTCATGCTCAGCCGCTTAAATAGTAGAAATAAAAGTAGTATAAATAATAAAAAATAAAAATAAAACTAAAATCAATAATAATTTAAGATTTAAATAATGACTATAATAATCAAACTTTATTGATATTCTCTCGGAGTCAGTGGAGTCTCCCCGGAATCTTCTGAATAAGAGCAATTGCTAGTCTATCTACCGAGCCCTGCTTTGCTTACTTCATTACTTCGAGACTTCTGATGGCAAACGAGTAGGCGTGAACACCTTCTCCATAGCTTACAGCAATTTAAATTGATTTTCTTGACCACATATAAGTAATTAAGTAATTAATTCATATAAGTAATTTATTCACCATAGGTCTTCTTACTACTCGGTCTCGAGACATTGGACGTAGCCTCTTGTGATGAGAATATATCTATCACGCAAATCTGAGTTATTTAGAATATCTCAGTGATGATTGCTGGCAATAATGGGTTTATGGGCCCCTCCATGATCACATCAATTAAATTCTGACAAATGTAGTCTAGAAAAGTCACATACAAGTAATCAATATATAGTTCTCCATCAATTTATTTGGACCCGAACTTTATGGTGAACTTTGATTGCAATTGTATGAATAAGTGTGTGCTCTGTTCTTTGTTCTTTTGGAAGGAACGCAAGAACGCAGGTATGGAATATATAATTAAGTAAAAAACATGTTGCAAATGATTTCTGCTAATTAATATAGAAGTGTTTTTATGAGATCTTTCCTCAATGATGTGAGAAATGTCAGCAATATAGCATTACGAAAACAACCTATTGTTTTGAGTGTACACAAATCCTTCGGGCTTATGTTCTGAATAACAAATATCTTGTCATCTTCTACTTACGACCAGAAGCAGCAAGCCATTTGCTACACAGCGCACACTGACCTATACTCATATCACAAGCCAGCGGAAAATATGGATTAAAAACTATAAAAAAATTCTGAAGCTTTTTCTGACGAATCAAAACTCCCTTCATATTGAGTATCTTATCTTGTAGCCGCAAGCCAGTAGTGAAAATGATGATGAAAAAACTGGAACCAAAAAGAATTGCGAGAAGGAAAAATTAACACAAAATGGTCAGCTTTTCTCAACATTTTTGGTTAAGCTTCAAAGTCCCAAATAATGGAATTTTCCGATTTTCTGCCTATTAAACTTTTTAATGTTTTTGCAAGAATTACCAAGAGGATGCCCTATCCTAAGTGCCGGTATCTTGTCTAGAGTAAAAAAATATTTGAACTTTTGTGCTTAATGCAAGCAATTTCTGCTACTTATAGCGGAATTTTTGAAGAGCGTTACATTTGCTCTAGCTAGACCGTTTTGACCTCGCTAGATTAAGCATGAAAAGAGCTTTTCAATGATATGCTGAATCTGCCTCAAAAAAGAAAGTATTGATAGGAGAAAGTTGCTCTGAAAAGTGCTTGAGCTTCACACGGGATTAGCAATCTCTTTGCTTGAGTGACGTTTTGGTTATACACCCTTCCTCAGTGTCTAAAGCCGTGGGCATACCTCACGCAATTTCAGTCGCCACGCGACATGGCAGTTTGCCAGATTTCTTCAAATTCAATACTGGCAGAAACCACATGCGCAGTATGTATAATTTGTAGATTGATAAAAGTCCCTATTCTTCCCAACATTCAGAAACCCCTTACGATGAGTTATTAATAATTAGAGTGTTGCCACATCGCTTTGTGTCTGAAATTGGGTGAGGTATGCCGAGGACCTAAATCGCTGGTAACTGCGTGGAATGCTGATCAGGTATGGAAAAAGCCTAGGAAAACGCTCATTAATATGTTTTCAATTTTTTTCTGCCCTAATGTAACAAGATTATGCATAGGTAAACGCTCCTTCTCTTCTCATTCTCACTAACATTGGGATCGTGGTGGATATGATCGCGGCTACGATCGCGGCTACGGTGGCGGATATGACCGTGGTTACGGTGGTGGCGGATATGACCGTGGTTACGGCGGTGGCGGATGGGGTGGACCTGGCGGTTACTATGGTAATCAAGGATTTGGTGGTGGGTTATTTCAACAGCCTTTGGGATTCGGTAGGAATTTGCATTCTTTTGCAGGTTTCCCTTACTTAACGATTTGTACTTCAGGTTGGAGAAAGTAAACATGACATGCTCGTCAGCTAATGTACATTTTTGCAGAAAATTGACAAGTTTTGTATGAAACGATAAATAAATATGTATCTATTGCCTTCGTAAATGATACTGTTATAAATTACGCTATCTTTTGGTCTGAGGTGTCAAGCTTCTAAGAACTAATTGATTATGACCAACAAGCAACATACTTGAAGAATTCTACGGAGTGTCTGCAGAGTTGGCGCTTCGTCAAAGTCTTCAAAGTCTAACAAGGAAGAGTCAGAAAGTTGAGGAAACCGATCACCACAAAATGCACACTGTCTGTGAGAGCTTGTTTTGTGGAAGAAGTCAAAGCATTTTTTTGAGGGGAAATGCACTAATACGATAAAATTAATCAAAGCCTTCTTAGCCGTTAAATGGAAAAGTAGGAGGTAATAAGCTAGGCACAAGGAGTTTATTGCATGAAGCATCCTGGTACTTGCCGCTACTTCTGTTAACATGAGAAATAGCGAATGCGATGAAGTACTGAAGTCTTTCAACACAAAAAAGGAACATACCGAACTACCCAAGATTTCTCTCCCGGTTTTCCATGCACATCAGGAATGTGAGCTCTAGAGGGTCGTCAGCATCGAAGTACGTTATGAAAGCTTTGCAGAATACATCGAAGCTTTCTTTAGAATGCTGCTCAAAGACAGCTCCTTCCAGAATTCGCCCCCCCCCCCATGTTTTTTCTATTCTGGGGCGTCTCCCTGCCCCTGATTGCATGAATTAAATCGAATTGTCAAAATTTCCAAAAACCCGATTCCTGGGGACCCTGTGTGGAGAGCGCGGATGGCTTTCAGTACGTAGATGGGCGAAGTTTGATAGGATCGGGACGGGGCTTGATTGCACTTTTGGTGTTCCGGACCCATTATCTCCATTCAGAGACAACATTAGAAAATGGAACGCAGTTGGTCCTCTCCTGGGTCCTACATTCAAGATCACTAATCGGAGGGGTAGAATTAGCCTGGACAATGCCTTACGCATTTTGCAGGAGTGCTGGTAGTTATTTAAAATGAACTTCTTCTAGGTTTCGGTCATATTGGATTGCCTCGATTATCCAAAACTGTTTGAAAACTAATTTTCAAGAATCTCGGCTTTTTGAGCACATGTAGTGCGGGATGTACCGAAAATTGCGAAAAGTGGATTTTATGGATAAATCAAGCATGACTATTTTGTATAATGTAATATTTATCACTGTCACGCTTCATTTCTTTGCTAATTTTTGATTTTTTCGGTACAGTCGTACATTTGAAAGAAGGTTCTGTAAAAATCCAAAGAGCTGATCAAAAAGACCTCAAAATTTTTTGTAGCTCGAGGTTGGCTGTATCTGCATAGTGTCTTTTTGGATTTGGTGTAAAAACCTCAAAGTATAACAATAAACAGAGAGAAATGATGGATGAAGAATTTTGGCAGTTATAAGAGAGCATTCAAAAAGTCGTTAATATTACCTTTACAAAAGCAGTTTTTTTTTGAGGTTTCGCACACATGTTTGATCTCTTTTTGATCATCCTTAAAAATCCAAACAACAGATCAAAAACAGCTCAAAGCAGTTTTTTGTACAGTCGCTTCATTTCATATGATCATGTGTGTCATTGCACACACAGTTCACCTTTGGCGTCCCCATCCTGGATTCGTGGAAGAAACAAGCCTTCAGGTAAGTGTTTCCAAGGTGTTCTTAGCATTTTCTTTCCTTTTTAGTTACTAGTCACCTCAAATTGATGTAATCGATAACAATCGGTAAGTCTCTTGCGTTTTTGCGATTGCAGATCTAGGATGAGGACGCCAAAGTGGACTGTGTGTGCGATGGCACACATGATCATATGAAATGAAGCGACTGTAACTCGAAAGAGAAAATGTGTTAGCTTTTTTCGTTGTGTTTTTCTGAGCTTTTTCTTAGAAAGGATAGTTTCAGCAAAATCTCGATTTTTTTGCTGAAAGTAATCTTTTCGAGTTGTTCTAAAAACCTTTTTTAGATGTTATTGTTCGTATTCGCTATTCCACCACTATCTTTTGCCCTGGACTGTCATGAGCCCAAACAGGTTGGAGAAAATTGTGACCAACCATCACAATGGGTGTTTTACTATGATACAAGATACAGTAAGCGGAGATTTTTCTAGTTTATTAACATCGGATCTGGCCTTGAAAAAAAAGAGAGAATTTTTCTATGCATTAAAATGGCAGGTATTTTGAAATTTCAGCGGAGTGGAATTAATCTTATTTTATAAGTCTTAATCCTTTGTAAATCTGTGAAAATTCGGTTTTTGAAGTCTTAGATGAGGTACAAGTACCCTTATTCTGTAGGTTGCCGTAAAATCTTTTTCAAATTTTCGGATTCCTTGCAAATTCAACAGTGCAAGAACATTTAAAAAAAAGGAGAGCCACTTAGAATTAAGAAAATGAAAACGTAAAACTTCTCGAAAAATTTTTGAAACCGGCAGGGTTTCCGTTTGACAACAATTCTACATTGTCGTAGTAACAATTTAGTGTGGGGTGACGACAACATTTGCTCGAAAACAAGCTCCAGAACGCGTGCGCGTAAAAGCTCCCAATAAAGCTTACGCGCAGATGTTGTCGGCAATGCAAGAACACCATTTGATCGTCAATTCTACTAGGCTACAAGTGTTTTAGTACAAACTTTACAGCTTGTCCTCATCGACTTGTTATCGTTTATTGTTATTTTTTAAAAGTCTGCCAACCCTTCCAATATCGCGGATGTGGTGGAAATTCGAATCGCTTCGCCACAGCTACACAATGAGAAAAATGCGCGGATGGTGACAAAGCTAATGCTCCATTTGCTTTGGCTGGAAGCGATGCTGTATTCGAGATTCTGTATTCTGCCGAGAGGAAATTTTCATGATCAGTGGATGAAAGGTAACTAACCTTTGGAAAGTTAGCCTGAAAAATGATTCACTGAAAAGTTTCCGCCCGACCATGTATGGTGGAGTGTATGGAGACGCCTATAACCCAATCTGTGAGACTGCACACATGGCGCGAAAGCTCACGACGCTCTGATATGTAGTAAACCTAGTGAAATGCAGATAGAACTTCTGTTGAAAAGATTACCTGATTACTCACCCTGCTCTTACTCATTTAATTTCAAAAAATGGGGAATAATCCAATAGTTTTTCTAAAGACTTTTCAACCTGTAAGCCTATAAGTCGTAAAATAAGGCACTTTCTGTGCAGTAACAGATTTAGTTACAAATCAATCGAATGTATCTTCTCAAAAATCTCTTATTCAGCTGAGAAATGCGGCTCAAACTTCCTTAATCTGAATGCAGTATATGTGCTACCAAGTCCGAATTGCCCTCCAAATCATAATTTGACGAATGGAGTCTGTTGTCCGACGAGAGGTGAGTTTGGCATTTCCTGCAAATTTCCATAAGTACACAATCTCCAGATTACGTCTGCTCCCAACGGGATGATTCGAGGACCTTTGCAGAGGGTATCGAGGATAGGCCTCGGTAAGTATCCTAGCTGGAGAAATTGCCAAAACCAGTTATCCTCTTCCAGTTTTGCTTGGAACCATGAAGTGTAATCCTGTGAACGCTTCAGCTATTTTGGCGCAAACGGCAACTATAACAATTTCCCTAGCTTCTACAGCTGTCTCAATTACTGCAAAGACTCTAAAAAAGTGAATTAGATAGCCCGTACATTAGGAAATGATAGATTAATTATTTATCGAACAGTTTGATAGTAACACTTTGTATTGCAGTTGTTTCAGGTTGAGAATCATGTGAGGAATTATGAGAGTACAACTTCTGCGGGAAGTGGAATGATCACTCGCTTATTGTTTTGTTCACTTTTTAGCTTTACTACTTTTTTTGACTATGGTTCGAGTAAATGTTTGTCTGTATAATGCTGTACACTACTCTAGCGAAAGAGGGCTTTGAAAACATGTAGTCAATATAGACTGGGTTGCAAGAGAGCCAAGCACTAAAGAATCCCCAACTTGAACAACTGATAATTGTCATACTGTAAGGCCCGAGGCTCGCCCGAGTGTTTTACCTTGAGCCGCTGTTCGGATAAAACATTTAGAGCTTGGGGCCCTCTCCCTCGCGATAACACTGAGCGGCGGAACGCCAAGCGGATAAATCTATGGCCGCGGATGATCAGTCCAAGAATTTAAGGTCCGCGCACTGCCAAGCAGCGGTGGGTGGGGCCGCGGGTGCTCGCAATAATTGTCTGAGAAGTTGTGCCAGTCCATGTGCTGCGCAGACGATATTATTCTTCTAAAAGTCATAAATGCACTATTGCAATGAAGAATTTTTACGTGAGCCGAAGGGTTCATTCTCCAATTTCGCACTCTATCTTTAGATCAGCAAAGAGCATACTACTTTAACCAAACTTTGAATGTTAAAGCGTACTGACAATCGTTGGGGTACAGTATGATCATAATTAGCTCATCTTGATACATCCCAAGGAGATCCTATTAAATTTCACAATGAAAAAGAACTCGGTATTTTCTGAACCCAGTGAACATACACTCCATCCATTCTACGAGCTTGGACGGGGGGGGGGGGGGAATTACTTAAAAACGGTTTTTCATCGTATATATGAAATAAACAATGTTTATTCAGTTGTCTATTACATAAAGCTGAAAAGAAAGTATAGAAAGAAAGAAAATAAAATGAGTTATAGAAAGCATATAGAAAATCCGAAGATGCAATGACATCAAAACTTGTTCAAGGACTTTTCCGCAACTCTATACATCATTGTCATCACAGAAGTCTTGTATGCTTGGAAGTTTTTACAATTCGCGCGGCTTCATCAAGTTAGTATTCTAATTCCTACCAAAGGCAAAAGCAATTCAAAAACTCGACCAAGCAACTCCTCAGTCCTACAAGCAAAATTCTATGCTTTCTTTCAACCAAAAGCGGTCTGCTATACGCAGTACTCACCTTTCGTTCGCCTTCAAAATTTTGAGAGATTGCTGACTGACGACTTGAAAAGGAATCAAACATGTTTTCACAGTAGACAATTTAATCGAAATATGGCTCGAGTTTTCGCCTAATAGGAAGACCTCTTTCTTG